GAATTTCAGCTTCAGCTGGAGTTGCATACTTCATGTGAGGGTCTTCGGGATCTTGGACCCATTCAGCACATTTAGACCAGTCAAGCTTCGGCTCAGCATGAAGGCAGAGTCTTCGGCATACTCGGAATCCGTTTCTGAAACCCATCTCATATTCCTCTTGGGTGTAAACACGGACTTTGAGTAAAGCCTCAGCATCAGCCAGCTTCTTCTGGGTCTCCTCCAAGTCTTCCTTGGATTTCTTCAGCTGTTCAGCGACTTTGGAGGAGGACCCCTTCAGCTCATTCAGCTCTTGCTGAATTTGGAAAGCCTTTGTCTGAGCTTGGGCCACTTCAACTTTCTGGATCAGCAGTTGATCCTCAGCCTCTTGGAATTTAGCTCTTTGAGCTTCAGCAGCAGCAGCAGCCTCTGAGAGTTGGACGTCTTTGGCCAAGAGCAACTCTTCAGCAGCCATTCGGCTGGCTTCAAGAGCCTCTAGACGCTGCTGCACTTCAGCTTGTGCAGCAGTTCCTTCTTGAATTCGGCTCTCAATAGCAGCCTTGAATTTGGAGACGTCCACTCCCATATGCTCCTGGAGGAATTTTTCCCCTTCCATCAGTGGGGGAAAAACCTCCATCTCCATAGCATCACAGAAGGTTTTCAGAGCTTCGGCAGCTTTTTTACCGTACTCCTCAACCTCCTGCTGCTTCTCTTCAGCTGCTGCTTGCTTCAGCTTAGCAAGCTTAACTTCCTCTTCAGCCACCTTCCTTTCGTGCACAGCAGCGTCTACCCTATCTTGTAGGGTATCAATCAGCTCTACAGTGAGAGTCTGATTGTGCACGAACTGAAAACAGGGGCACAAGTTAAAAAAAGTAAAAAATAATAGCTGAAAGGTTGAGTTCAGAAAGAAATCAAGGCAAGGAGAATTACCTGCATCATCAGCAGTTGGTTGGACCTGGCAGGGTCAGGAACTGATCTGCTGGATTCGCCCATCCCAGCAGTGGCCTTCAGCGACCAAATCCTTGCCCTATCTACTTCGGACAGGCCAGCAAAATCGCCGAAGTAGGCTGCAGCACCTTCTCGGTTCTGACCCCATATGAGGTCCCAGATGTGGTCTGGGACTGGAATTCGGGGGCCGAGAAACCCATTTCTCCAGACTGCAGCGTCTGGAAGGAAGGGAAGGATGACGATGGAGCCTCTTTAGCTTTGGGTGGCTCAACGTCCTCCTCCTTCTCAGAAGAGTCAATTATTGTGACCTCTTCTTCTTCAGGTGTGAGGACGAAGGCCCCAACCTCTCTGGCAATGTCCGCCGTGAAACCCTCAGCACTGGGCATCACGGCGTCTCCATCCTTGTCCTCGGCGGCACTCTCTCGAGCTTCTTCCAGAACCTCTCCCTTAGGTTTGGGAGTTCTCTGATCCACCTCCATCTCGGGGGGTGGCGGAGAGGCCCTTGGGGGTGATTGAGGCGGTGGCCGGGGAACCCTCGGCGATCCATTGCCTTCCTCGGGTTCCCTTATTTCAACGCCGATGGTCATCGGCCTCCGCTGAAAGTCATGCGGGCCGATGATGGCCATTCTTCGGCGCCTCTTCTGAAGCGGCTGCTCGTCCATATCTGAGTCTGAAGACTCTTGTACTTGATCTTCGGGACGAACAGGAGCTTTGCCTTCTCTGTGTCTGTTACTCTCTTCAGACTGTAACAGACAGGGGGGAAGAAGAGTGTGAGTAAAAAAAAAAAAAAGAAGAAAGACAAAGTTAAGTCTAAAGGCTCACCGAGGTCTTCAGCAAAGCCTCGTCTTCTTCAGCTGCCCTAGCCGCAGCTTCTTCAGCAACTCTGGAGGACCCTTCTCCACCTTCACAAGCTTCAATAACCCGTGCAACCTCTTCGGCTGTACGGGCAGCTTCAGCTTCTTCTTCCAGCAGCTGAAACAAGGGATCCCTCTTCTTCCACCAAGGCTTCTGCCTCTGATACAGAGCAACAGCCTCAATTTGGAAGTGGGAAGAGTCTAGGTGAACCTCTCGGCGCCTTGGTTCAGTGATAGGGGGAGCCCGATCAGTTACGACTCGTTCTCGGTTGACGCCAAGGCGAGCGTAATCAATGCCGACGTTGGTCTCGTCCCGTTCTGAAAAAGAAAAGGGGAGAAGTCAATTCAGTTAGTTCGGCACATCACAAGAAAGCAAAATGAAAGAAGAAAAGAGATAATTAAAAGGCCTCGGCCCCAGCCGAAGAAGATTACCATCCCTAAACTTTCGGCTGAGGCCGACAGCTGCCAGCATATTCTCTTGGAAAACATAGTGCGTATCGGGGAGCCAAGTCTCCGGGATATGCTGCATTCGGCCGCTGCCTCCCCGGTTCGGCAGCTTGCCGAAGATGTTCTGCTGATTAAGGTTCGGGTCTGGCCCGCTATCTTCGGGAGGACCTAAACTTCCCATATCAGGATCCGGCTCGGCAAGATACCGGGGAGCGCTGAAAACGTAAGGGTGGCTCGGCTCCGTGGGTGCCCTAACCCAAATCCATTGACCTCTCCAGTCCTTGTCTGAAGAGTCGTTCGGCCACATGGTTAGGAACGGGGGCCGAGACTCAATCCGATACCACCCAGAGCCATGGCATCCGTGCCCACTTTGAATGTTTGGCACTAGCCGATGGAGCCTTTTGAAGCAATGCAGGTTCGGCACGTACCTGAAGAATTTGCAGACCCATAAGTACGTCATTACCCTTCGGATGCTGGTGGGGGTCAGCTGGCACAGGGAAATGTTGTAATGGATCAGCAAGTCTCGGACGAATGCGTCCAAAGGGAACCTCAGCCCATACTGAAGCTGTCTCGTGTACACCCCCACATACCCCGGGGGTGGACGATGGATTCTATCGGATGCTGAGGGCATTCGGCACCAATATCCATCAGCTTCAAAAATGCCGTAGTGCAACTCAATTTGCTCGGCAAATCGATATTGATCGGCGTTCTCTACCCACCATGAGTAGGGGCGGTTCTTTATCATGGCCGAAGCGACTTCGGCATTCTCCCACTCTGAAAACCCAGGGAGGATATCCCAAAGGACAGCGGGAATTTCATCGTCCCGTCCAGAAGCACTCGGCTCATCCGTTCTCTGAGGAGGAGCCGAAGAAATGGGAGTCGCCCTAACCCCTTCAGCAGGGTCAGACTCTGTCCTTCGTCCATTCCAGGTCCCAATCCTGTCCCTGGGATCGGGGATTAGCCTTGCTCTTCTTGGAGCACGGGCTCCGCCTCTAACTCCCCTCACCATTGACGAATTTCGAAGGAAAAAGTCGAAAAAGGGGAAAGAGTGCAAAGTCGAAGAAAGATGAAATAAAATCAAAGGAATTTACCTTGATCTGAAGCAAAAGCCGCCGATTTACGAATTGGTAGTGACAAGTCTCAGCTTCTAAGCTTAATGCTCGGGGAATTTGCGAAGTTTTGATGCGGGCTCTTGAGCGTTCTTGAGAATTCTGGGTTTGTGTTGATGAATGAGTGGGGAGAGAAGACGCGCCTCTATTTATATCTCCAGAAATGGGAATTCAAGGAGTCTGCGTTTCAATTTCTCTCAAGCACCCCACTAAGTAACCGTTAAACACACGACCTTGCAGTTAAATCGCCCACTACCCGTCCAACTTCCGCAATTATCCACATTAACTGTTGTTATCTCATTAATCATGGGTTAATTATGGTTTAAATTCACATTTTTGGATTAACAAATCATTCACTTCCCTCCTTTTCTGATTAAATCAAACCCGACCCGTCATCCTTCCAAATCGGGTCTGGGGGCAAGTTGTTTGGGTCCAATTTAGTCCAATTGGGCCTGGTCACTGAATGATCCAATTAAAAGCCCAAGGTTAAGGTTCAACTCTCCAAATGTGCTAAAGTCAAAAATCAACATCCTCAAAGCCATGTCAAGGTCAGTCAACGCCCAATCAGCTTGGCCCAGCCCAACTGACTTCCGGGCCCAATCCGCCTCCTTCATTAGCCAAGGTATAAAAGCCAACAATTTGGTCAATTCTTGGTAAGACAAAAAAAGCCTCAAGCAACTAAACTCTTGCACAGCTTTCTCTCTCTAATATACTGACTTAAGCATCGGAGGGCCCTTCCTCGGCGTCCCCCCCGAGGCTAGTTTACGTGTATTTGTTGTGCAGGAAACCCTCGGCTCCTGCGTCGTTCGGACCGAGACCAAGTTCCCTCACATAATTCCATTCAAAAACTTCACTCACTAAAACTTTATTGTGATTTATACATTGTTTAAGACATATGGAACTATGTAATATAAGCATTTCAGTATGAACAAAGTTTTCACATAGCATATATATCATCATATATGCAGTAGAAGTTGACTTTGAAAACGTACACAACAAAAAAATCATGGCAATATATATATAAGTACATACATATTAAAGATGATCAACCCATGATTAATCTAACAACATAGAATAGAAGCATGTAAACATAGGAAAAATCTACTTGCTAATAAAATTTACTCTAAAAATAAAAGCCTAACAAAAAAACCTCCATAATGAATAAAAATACATAGCTTCAAATCTCCAACAAAATTGGTAATTGAAACCAATTAGGGTATTTTTAAATATTAAGTTCAAACCACCAAGTATAGAAGCAAGAAAAGAAATACTCATTCCATGTAATATCACACTAATATAACATAGATTATAAATAAGCCTTTATATTAATAATCATTTTAACAAATAAACATTATTGAAAAAATCAATATCTAACATTCATTTGCCAAAAAATCAGAAGTCATGTATTTGTCAAGAGAATTATCAGCAATTAAACTACATGCTAAACATAATTAATAAAATACTTACTTTAGAATGAACCCCCCTTGAATCAAACAAATTATGTAAATGAGTCTTCTCATGATACGCCTAATCATCCTCACAAAAACACAGCTCCAAGAAGTCATCATAACTCTTAAACGAGAGCAGCTATCAGCAATCCAACCATTGAAAATAAAGACCCATATGTCCCAAATAAGCTCCCTAAATTTCAGTCAAAACCGACCACTCGTTAGCAAGATTCAAATGCGTAGTACTAAAGATACTTGTGCCATGGTTTCAAAAACTAAATAAATAAATAAAAAATACTTGTGCGATAGGCCCATAATCTCAACATGGACTATTACTCTCGCCATAATCATCGGACTTTTGAATCTTTTGGGCTATTAACACGGCCCAAACATTATGGACTTTCATTCATGTAATCGTACCATTTACGTCGCACACCGGTCAATCCATCACAAACAAAACTAATTCTACTTTCTTTCAACTATATTTCTCTCTCTACTTTCTCTCTCCTCTTTTCCGGCGACATTAATCTCCGGCGATCTCAATCGGAAAAATCTCCGGCGCGTATCGAGGTTAATCTTATGAATTTTTATCTTCTCTAATCTTCAATTTCCGTTCTTTAATTTACGAATTTTGTTGATTTTTCTCCGATTCCCTTAATTTCTGATTTCATCATTTTTTGTTATAATTCAATTTTTTAAAATTTTTTGTCATATCGTTGAATTTTCGTGTTATTTAGCTTCGATTTGATTTTAATGTTGTCATATTTGATGTTTGATCCAATTAATTTGAGATAATTAGAGCTAAGTTTGAATTTTTAGATTATGATTATACACTTACACCTTGATGATTTAAGCGTTCTATGAATTTCAATCGAGTTTAGCATCATTACGTGAAATTCTAGTCGTCATTTGTTTTATGAGAAAATTTGGATTGCTATGTGGCATTGCATTAAGTTTAATTATGAATGTTTCTGCTAAGCTAATAATTTTTTTATATTAAGATTGCGGTTCGTAGTCTCAATTGCGTTAATATTCCACTATATGTTATCAAATTTACACTATTTTGTTGAACTATGATTGCAAGAGAATTGTACATTCTATATACTCGGTATATGCTTTCAATGTTACAAAACATTTGCGGTTTTGGTTAGTTAATTTCTATGGAACTGTAATGTTAGAAGTTACTGTATAAAGAATAAAATAAGTGCTGCTTGTTCATTGGCAAGTATTTGGAATGGGGGAGAATAAAGCACACTCGTACACATCGTAATCACATCCTAATCGGGATTTTGTGAGCAAAGGTTGTGGCTTTTTCCTCACTTTTTGATGATTTGCTAAGTTAGTTAGTCATATATTCAGCAAGAAATTTGGTTTGTGTACTGAATTTCAGATTGTTTTATTTCTGTATGAGACCTTAAATTTTGTTTATCCTTTGGCAGTTGGATGCAAATGTATCAATGTTAGAAAGTGCGTGAACATGGATTTTTATGTACTTGTGCTTTCTAAGTACACTCAAAACATTTTACTATCTTACATTTCATTTTCACTGACATGTTCTGATTTTGATAAAGTTTTTTTTCTGGATTTCTGTAAATTAATAGGTGGATACCAGAGCCCTAGAAGGTGGTGATTGTAATTGAGCTTAAGGTTTGAGCTTTGTTGATTTTAATAAAATGTCTGCTCCTGTACCTCCAGGGGCAACTAGACCGAACAACTCACAATCACAGCCCCCACCCCCAAATTATGTCCCAAATATGAACCGGACTCCTGATTCATCCTTATCTCAAAATTTTCAAAACATGCATATCAATCAGACACCAAGTGCTCCACCACCGTCTTCAGCTGGTTCTGTCAGGCCTCCACCTTTTGGGCAGGCTCCTCGTTTTCCTCCATCTGCAGCTGGTCCTCCCGCTTCCTTTCTAGGACCCTCACCTGCTTCTAGGCCTGGCCCTCCACCACCTGGTGTAGTCCCGAGAGCTGCAGCAGCTCCTGCGGGTCCTATGGCCTCACCAAGTATGATACCTGGTAGACCCTCTATTCCTCCACCAGGTGTTCAACCTCAGCCCTTTGCTTCTAGACCTCCTTCTCAAGGGCCCTTCTCTGCAGGTGGTCCAGCTGTCCCCCCACCTGGGGCACCTACTGCAATTCCTGCCAGATCTCAACCAGTGGCTCCACCTTTGATGTCTCATCCTAGCGGCTTTGGATCTCCTCCAATGACTACTGGTCAAGTTGCTCTGCCGACTGCTCCTCCAAGTGCTGTTAGTAATGGACATCCTATGTTCCAGACTGGGAATTTGTCCGGTGGACCTCGTTTTTCTTCTCCTGGAGGTCCACGGCAGCCACCAGTTGGTCCTCCTCCAATGTCTGCTTCCTCAGTTAGGGCCCCATTCCAAGCTCCACCTGTGCGCTCTTTTCCCGGGACTGGGCCTGCTGGTTCGTCAACTGATCATGCATCTCCTTTATCTCAGTCATCTTCTCCTTTCGCAGGTCCACCTCAGGTACAGGGTGCACCACCTCCTTTGGGGTCTCCATATGGTATGCAGCCTCCTCAATTACGGAAGGTAAGAGTTAATATTGCATTTGTTTGGGGATTTCTCCACTTGAAATTTTAATTATTGCTGTTCATCTGCTCACATGATCCTAATATTAGATATGGATATTGATATGGCTAATAGAATACCTGTCTTTTACTTCACACATATGCCTTTGTCAAAATCATTTGCTACCCCAAACAATTTGATATCGTAAGGACATGATATAGGCCACTGAAAAGATATAGCTGTACTTCTCTGAATAAGGAAGTGGTGGCTTTTCTTTTTTTTTCTCTTTGTTGTTGTTGTTGTAATTTGTATTCTACTTTGACATGTATAAATTATAGATGTTGCTCTTTGAGTCTATTCCATACCTTTATATCAGTTTACTAGTAGCCTTTTCTGTTCTGTTATATCTTTGGCTTCATAAATTTCAGGTGACTCCACCTCCATCAATGTCAGGTTCTATGCAGCCACCTAGGATGTATGGCATGCCACCATCAGGACCATCTCAAACTATGGCCAATATGCCTGCTATGAGTCAGACTGGGCCATCAAAGATTGATCCCAATCAAATTCCACGTCCCCTTCCGAATTCATCAATGGTCGTGCACGAAACTCGTGTTGGCAATCAGGCTAACCTTCCTCCGGTATACTTTATGCTATTACTCTCCAGAACTGCCCTTTTTGAAACATTGGTGCTTTATTTGGATTTATCAATGTACTTTAGTGTGCTTTTGGCCGTTTCATCCATTTACTCTCTTAGCAGCCTTAATTTTTATTTTTTAATACAATCGTGTATTAAAGACCTTTTGTTTTGCACCCTAAAAGTCCATTATCCAAACCAATGCCTCTGACAAGCCTTCTAGCTTGAGCTGGGAGTTCTTTTAACTGTTCTGAGGTTATGTTGGAGATCAGCCCAGCTGTTAAAAGCAACTCAATGCTCAAGCAACTTTCAAGAATTAGTTAGGATTTTAGGCGTTTGATAATTTCCATTCTAGGCAACACTGTATGTTGTTTTTTTCTTATGCTAACCCTTCTCAGATCCAACTTTGTTTTAAATAGACATTTTTCCATTTGATTTGAACATCTACCTTAGCCCTGCAGTTGCAATCAAGGTGTTGCCATTGTACTCTGCTGTTGATTAAATTCATAGAAATATCTGGTTAAGCCATATATATTTATATGATGTGAAATTTTCTTAATAGTGTTTGTTTTATAAAGATGAAAATTAAATTCTTAAAAGTACATGGTTGATTTTATTATTTTTTTTTCTGCTCATTTCTCTCGAATTGTTTTGTTGAAGCCTGCTACCAGTGAGTACATTGTCAAGGATACTGGAAATTGCAGTCCTCGTTACATGAGGTGTACAATCAATCAGGTGATTAGTCTTATTGGGTGAGGGATAGTGATTGCCCTTGTTATTAAGCAAAGTGTTCTAGAATTTGATATAGTTACTTTCTCTTGTATCCACAGATCCCTTGTACTGCTGACCTTCTTGGAACATCTGGGATGCAACTAGCTTTGTTGGTTCAGCCATTTGCACTTCCTCATCCATCTGAGGAGCCTATTCAGGTAATGCGGGATGATTTACTTGTTCAGTAATTTCATTTGATTACCTGGGTTGACTTTCCCGAAGAGAACCGATTTTCATATAAACTGATTGTACCACTTTCTATCAAATTCCCTTGGAGGAGCTCTAAAAATGAGGGATTTTTTTCCTAACATGTACCTGACTATTGCTTTGACATAGCAAGTATTTTGTTTCTTTCCTCTTCATCATGGTTGATCCTGGTAAATTGATAAAAATTGTGATGGTTCGGATGCTTTTCTTCTGTATAATAATAAATTTCTGCGATTTTGAAGGTGAAAGAAACAGTATAGGCAGTGAAATTGAAATGGATGATATTTTGGTGGCGTGTTGGTTGTTGATACAAGAATAGTTAGGAAGCATTAACTGTGCTTATAGTGAAAATACGTGATTGGACATGTCCCTAATCCCTAATCTCTTTTCCAACTTTTCTTAATATCACTGCATCATATTCTCTCTTTCTCTCTCTCATGCAAATTTGTGCTGACAGAAGTTCTAGAGCTGCAAACTTTTGTTTATCCCCTTCATATTTATATTTACTGGAGTTTCAGGTGGTTGATTTTGGAGAAGGTGGTCCTGTCCGGTGTTCTCGCTGCAAAGCCTACATAAATCCCTTTGTTAAATTTATTGATCAAGGAAGGAAATTTATATGTAATTTATGTGGTGAGTCAAAGATGATCATGTTCTTTTATTTGAAATCTTTTCATGGAAAGAAAAGCGGCTCCAAGGTTCAATTAATTATAAATTTTTTTTTTGGCTATTGCAGCATGTTGCTTTCTCAGCATTTGTATTCTAGGATAGTAGTATGTGGTGTTATGAATTAGGCTTGAAGTACATATTTATTGTTAAATAATTGAAATTTTTTATGTCATTCTTGTTCTGTTTCTAACTTATTATTCTCTTTTTAAATCAAGTTTTTGATGTGAAGACTGTCAAAGGACTATGATGTAGAGGATTTGATCCCAAGTGTTGGGTACCACCACCCAATACTTTAACTAATTGAGCTAGTTGACATCCACTTCCAATTATCCATTTCTCACTCATGTCCTAACTTTATTTTAGTATGATAGGAAGCTGGTATACTCATTGTCTCTCATGTTTCATCTTCTGGAAAGTCAAATTATATTTATCTATCTCTAAGAGCTTTCTTCTAAAAATCTCACTTTTAAGAAATACTAAATTTATGAATGTGATTTGCGGGTATGTTGCCTCATAAAGGTTGGGTCTTGAGTGGTTGAGTGCATAATTTTAATGTGGTTGGATAGGGATAATATTATTAAAAAAAAAAAATTGATTTATGGATGGTTTATTCCGTTTATTTATTTTTTGCATGAGTCCTGTTTAATACTCCCTCGGATACCCATTTTGATTTACTATTCACTTACATTTCAATTTGACCAATGTTAGTGATTCATTCATAAGAAAAAAACATAGTCATGTGGAATCCTGTTAGAATTGTCTCAATGGTTGGTTTCCAAGCATCAAATTTTTATAATTTTCATTCATTCATAGTTATAGATATGCAAAGTTTTACGTTGGCAAGTGTGAAAAGTCAAAATGTGTAAATTGAAAAAGTTGGGAGGTTTAATTTGGCATGAAGAACTTTATAACTGTTTAAAATGTTTGACTTTTTTGGTTTATTGTTCAGGTGTTACCGATGAAACTCCTCGTGATTACCATTGCAATTTGGGGCCTGATGGGAGGCGTAGAGATGCTGATGATAGGCCTGAGCTGTGTAGAGGGACTGTTGAGTTTATTGCTACTAAAGAGTATATGGTTAGTTACCATATTATCTGATACTAATATATTAATAGTTCCCTCAGCCTTTCTCATTTTTGTAATGGGTTATCATTTGGCGATTCTTATGCTAGGATTATGCTGACAGTTTTCTAACATTTGCCCAACACCTTGGGAGTGTAGATCTGTCTTTTGGAAGTTTTTAAGGCTAAACTTAGGGTTTTGTGTCCATGATCGATATGGAGCTCACCCTCCTCTTATCTTAGTTACTTTTCATGGAATTCTGCCTCATTCATACTCTATGAGGATGTAGTTTATGTGTTTTCTTATAGTAGATGGTTGTTGTAGAAGTTAAAGGAAGTTTAATGGACAAATTTGTAAAAGCATGGAATGAGACCATTTGGGGTTCTTACTGTTCAATAGATGTTAGTTTGATGAATGGGGCAAGCTTTTTTTGGTAGGGGAATATAGTTGCTAAGTTGCTCACATTTGGTCATGCATAGCTTGTATGACTTTGGGTGTGTTCTTCCATAATCCTGACAGATGATTTTGCTGGAATGTAGAGGAGTCTTATTTTGTAGTTCCATTTTATACAAGAACATCCTTTCTCTCATACATTTTTACAGTTTCTTGTTCGATTTGAAAGTTATTCTATTGTAAGAGGGTAAATGCCTGTTGGTATTGCAGTTTTGAGTACTTACAACACTCTTCATTATATGATATAGTTCAGATTTCCTAAAAAAAATATAATCTTGTCAGATGTTTGTGTTATGTGTTATAGTGGTGGTTAAACAAGGAAACATATATTTTTGCATTTTGTGGTAGCAGCCTTTCTCTAATGCAAGTTTTCTTGAGGTGAAAGGTATGCTTTGGACTCTGTCTGAACTTTGACCAATGATTATCATCATGGATCACTACATATAAAGAATGTTTTATCCTTAGGAAGGGAACTGTGATTTGATTGTTCTTAGAATCGCATTTGGCAATTCTCTGGGTCCTGTAAGATTACTATGAATGGTGCAGTGAGATATTTAGCTTTTTTAGGTCTAAGATAGTTCTTTTTGGGCCATAGGAGTGTCATATTAGCATCTTTTTGAATCTTTTCTTCTGGGGACTGTTAAGAAATACTCTTTTTGCGAATGGCACACTCTACTGCTAAGTACTTTGGTTACTTCTTTACTAAACTCCTAGAGTTCTGGCCCTCTTTTTTCTTATTGTTTATTTATTCTTGTTTATAAGATTATTTTTCCTAATTTATAAAATCTTGTTGAAGAGCGAACAGCAAGTAAACACCATAGCTGTAATTAACTTAAAACTCCTATTCTTTAATCTCACCTGCTGAGAATAAGACATTAGGCTGTAGTCAGTAACAGTTGCCTACAAAGACTACTTGTTCTAGCGTATTACTAATGGGGGTCAGAAATGGATGGTGTAGATCCCTGGTTGCCTTTGATTCTGTGGAGAGGGGGAAAAACCATTTTTTCCAGCTCTAAAGTGTATGTCTATTACTACATTGGAAATTGTCAGGATTTTGTTCTATAATGGGTGATTGATATAGTTTGACTGTCGATACAGGTTACTGTTTGAGACTCCAATTATAGATAATCAAGTAGCATAATTGGGTGATTAGCATTATATTGGGCTTATTGGCGTTAGATCTTATAAAAAAAATATTTAGTGTAATTCAAAGATGATTTTAAAATTCAAAATGTTTTGAGAAATATATACTATGAGTACTAGAGTAGGGATTTATTGTTAAAAAATTGGAGGTTGATTGATTATTGCTGCTGCAGAAAGGATGACTCCGTTAAGTTGGTCATGCTCTTGTGGAATCCCAATGTCTTGATTTACCTTCTACTTTGTCTATATATGTTTTGGTTACTTGCCTGTTCATCCAACTTCCAAGAAATCCAACTCACAAATATTTTTGATGTATCCTTGTTTGTTCAGGTGCGTGAGCCAATGCCTGCAGTCTTTTTCTTTCTCATTGATGTGTCAATGAATGCATTACAGACTGGTGCAACTGCAGCAACTTGTAGTGCTATCAATCAAGTTATTGCTGACCTCCCTGTAAGTTCATTCTTGAATTTCAATATTTACGCCTATCTGAACAATTAATGGCTTTCATCTTTCTGGAAATCCCCTATGAGGATTTACATTTTTATTAGACCTCATTAGTAAACATTTCTTTGATTTGTGCCACAATACAGCAGAACTTGGTTGTAAGTCTTGTAACACAGATTCCTAAGGAGGATTATTAAATATTTAAGGCATGTTTGATGATTTTTTTTTTTTTTTTTTTTTGAGGCAAAGGCATGTTTGATGATTTAGCAGCCCTTTAGTTTTATTTTCCATGATTTGAAGTTGCTCCTTGCTGAAACAGCATATCTTACTGCTGTTATGATGATAATTAGCTAGTGGAGCAAGCTATAACTTTTGTGTGTTAGCATTTTGTAAGGTCTACCATACCCTGTCACCTGTCCACTGTGAGAAACCTTTCACTGTTGAAGTCACCTAGACACCAACAAATATTTTGTTTAAGGAGCAGCTAGAGAAAGAGGTTCTCTGCCTTTGGATCAGAAATTTGTGGACATTGTCATTCTTCACCTCTAGAACCTTCAAAATGCTCTCATATGATGCCTCTGTTGCATACTTTCAATCTACAGAATGAAATGGATGCTGAATATCTCCAGACTTTGATATTATAATTACAAGACTGTCTGTTTCTGTAAAATGTTCTCAAACTTCTAATTGCCATTGCTTTTTACAACATCATTCTGTTTCTAGTAGTGTAGGACTTTAGGTTGAGGATTTGTTTCTCCCCTCCTTGAATATTGATGCCCCTTTTCCTACAATATATATTTTCCTCTTTCTTCAAATGTTTCTTTGTGCTCTGATTTAGCTTCATCATCCTTTACAAAGCGTTTGTAAAGGATCACATGGCAAGAACTTTTAGAGTTTTTAGACGTCTTAACTGATTATGGAATTTATGTGTTGTATTTGATTCTGTTCAGGTTTATTTATTTGTTCCCATGCTTGTGCATAGCCCCACTAACACAAGTGCATTGTGACTTCAGTTTGTGGTGACTGTATGCATTGATTATTGTTACAGGAAGGTCCAAGGACTATGGTGGGTATTGCAACATTTGATTCAACAATACATTTTTACAATCTGAAGCGTGCATCACAGCAGGTTTGCTTACCACTGCTATATCTTCTAATGCTGTGTGACAATAAAGGTGTCTTCCAATTTGAAGTATTTGCTAATTTTTGTCTCACTTAGATTTTCTGCTAAGTGCTTAGTTGCTTTTGGCCCTAGTAAAATTTTTATTAAGGAACTTCCTTTTCAGGACTTTTATCTTGTGTCAATTATTTTCCTACAATAGAGAGCTGAAGTACATAAAATGGTGTAGGGCTGTGTGACTTGTGTCCTTGTTGATCACTGAAAACTTCAGCTTCTTGATTAGGCCATCCTTATCTTTTTATCCCCCCCCCCCCCTCTCTTCCCCCATTTCTTCCTGCCTTGTTATTCTTTTCTTTCCTTGGTGCTTGAAGCCAGGGGTAAGGTGATTTTCTAATTGTAGGGAAGACATAGTTCGTACAGTTGCTGAATCAGCCTTGAAATTTCTATTTGCATTGTTTGCTCATCTTGTAAAGTTTAGATCAGAAAAGAGAAGAGATGTATATATTCAAAGTTTGTGATTCTCTTACTTGAAATGCAAATTTTATAGTCTGAAAATCTATATATTTTGAACACTGCCTCATTTAAAAACTTGTGCAGCCATTGATGCTCATAGTTCCTGATGTACAAGATGTTTATACTCCTCTTGAATCTGATGTGATAGTCCGGCTTTCAGAGGTAGGCTTTTAGTATAATTCAGTGAATTTTAGTGACACTTTTCTTTCTATATATGTAACTTTTTGAACCCATACCTCATGTTGCCTTGTTGATATCAGTGCCGTCAGCATATAGAGTTATTGCTGGAAAGCATCCCAACTATGTTTCAGAGTAATATGACTGCAGATTCGGCTCTTGGTGCAGCAATTAAGGTAGGACGTGTATGATTGGTGTGTTGGAGTTGGAAAATTTTCTTACTCCTGGGAGGATTCAATGCTTATGTATGAATATCCCCCCCCCCCCTTCTTTTTTGCCTTGGTTCTATTAGCATTATCAAATAGTTTAGGTTTCTTGGCACATGCTTATTCAATCAAGGCTGGAGCTTTGTTTTATCTTTATAAATTGCATCTATGTTAGCCATCGATATGATCAACTATAAGTTACAAGTAGCTTTTATCTGGGATAAACAAATTGTTAGCTGACTTAGTTACATCTCTTTTTTGTTTCAGGCTGCATTTTTGGCAATGAAGAGCACAGGAGGAAAACTTTTGGTCTTTCAGTCAGGTAAGTCTCCAGTCACATCCATGCATTTAGATTAAGTTTTGCTTTTGTCCATGCAAGCATTATATAGTTGTTTTGTCCCTAGGCATATTTTGAATGTTGATAAATGCTATTGTGGCTAGACTTTAAAGTACTAGGTATCTTCTAATGGTTAGTGGTTATGCTTCATACTCTGTTTATCCTTCTACTAGTTTGAGACTACTCTAAAAACTCTATTCTAGGGGCTGGCCAGGACTGTTTGAAATTGATCACCTGACAATTATTGGCATCAATGCAATCATGAGTAGGAATGGCAACGGATCGGACCCGGGTCGGACTATGTAAGATCCGACTTAGACCCGCCACATAATCAGACCTAAAATCCGGCTCCAACTCCGCATCCGACTCCGAGTCCGAGTCCAATAAACTCCGCCAACTCCGGCTCCAACCCGAATCCGAACAGTTTATTAACAAATCTCACTTTTTTTTTATTTTTTATTTTATATATCCAAAATCATTGAAGACTCTACATTCATCTATAATTGCAAATAAACGTTCAACAGAATTAAATATATAAATTGAATTGATATTTTATAAATTTACAATTATAAAAATTACAAACTCAGATGTAGAAATATATGCTAACACTATTAACTCAAACTAGCATAATACTTACGCTTACCTCAAATTTCATCCTTATAACAAGTTGCAAAACTAGATCTACAAATTGATAAGAAAACTTTGTAAAGGAATCTTGTAGATTTGAACCAGTACAAGCATAGCTAGTTAGCTACACATTAGAACCAAATTTGGGTCTTCAAATTGATAGGAGATGAGAGAGGTTAGCTATTGAGATAGAAATGTTAAAGGGTTTCAAAAGGGAGATTTTTAACGAAGAGGAATTTTGAGGAGAGAGAAAAATGAGTATAGGAGATGATGACTTAGAGTAGTAGAGAAAAGAAAGTGGCGGTAGAATCTAGAAAAAGGGTTTTGGGCTTTTGGCTCTTTAAATGACCCACAATAATTTGCACTATAAAACCTACGTCGTATAATTATATTACGTATAGCGGGTCGGACTCAGACTCAGGTTGAGTCCATCGGACCTCAAGCAAGATCCGAGTCCGATCCAACTCCATTCGGATTCGAACTTTTTTAATCGGACTCGGATTCAGATTTTTCTATTTCGAATTTGGATCGGACTTTTTTCTTCGGATCGGATCGGATTTGGATCGAATTTGGATTAAATTGCCATCCCTAATCATGAGCAATAGACTTGAATGTGGCCTTGCTCACATAACTTTCTTTGAACAATCCTAGCTACACTATATCCCATAATTAGCCCTTGTTTAGTTCACCTTATTTTTGCTTATCTAATCTGATCTAAACTTATTTTTGCTTATCTGATTTGATTTGATCTAAACTTATTTTTTCTAATCTGATTTGATCTGATTGTCTGATTTGCCCAAACTTTGACGTTATATGTATTAGAAAAACCATATCAAGTGTGGTTTGTTAGATTTGTAATAATGGGTATATTTATTAATATGTAATTTTCTTAATTTTTTTATTACGAAGTTTAAGATATTTAACTATACAAAATCGCACATAAAACGATAAAGCATGTTCAGAACTTTTTTTTTTTTTATATGACCTGAACTTATTTTTGATCTAAACCTTTTTTTTTCTGACAAGGTGAACTAAGCATGGCCTTATTCGTCTATATTGATGGTTATATATGCTATTAGTAGGATTTCTTTTATATGCGTAACCTTGTTACAAATTTTCGTTGGTAACTTTATTTTTATTAGCATGTTAATGTTTCTAGAGTGGTTGTGCAGTGTTGCCATCAGTTGGAATTGGTGCACTTTCTGCTAGGGAGGCAGAAGGCCGGACTAATACATCTGCGGGTGAGAAGGTAAGCTCTAAGTGGGATGTTTTGATAGCAACTTTGATGTTAAAAGTTAAAACGAATTCTTTTTTGCCAATGCCCCCCCCCCCCCCCCCCCCCCCCCCTTCCTCCAAAAAAAATAAATAAATAAAAGATTTTTCTCCTCTTTTTAAGTATTACTATACTCTGTAGCATCAGCATCCTCAAAACATGGGTTCAACCAACTTGTGATGAATAGAATAGTAATTAATATTTTGATAATGAAGAAGCTGCTCTTGTATATGGGGGATTATAAGGAGGAGGTGGGATCCTTTTAAATGTTCGTAGGGTCCGGGAAACTCACTCTCTTAAATCCTGCTTTGAAACCTTCCAATTATACACTGGAAGGTAAAGCCTTTTTATATAAGTCACAACTCACAACAACTCAAGGGGCATGTACCTTTTTGTCCTTAGACCTCCTTTTGTATATGGCTTAGTGGGAGATAGTGGGGGACACCCTTGGCGTCTCCCCGATATCTTCCTTTATTACTTGTCAAAAAATAAATAAAAAATAAAAAATGCTTTTCATAGATTAGCTTGAGCTTTTCTATTGAGACATCTATATCGGGCAGTCTATGATATGGTGGGAACAGGTTATTCGGTGAGATGATAAGCTAGACTATATGTTAAAGTCAACTAGTGTAGTATAGGACTCAGTGTTTCATCTAGGAACAGGCTCTCTACTCTCTTGATTTCTTCCCAGATCTGCGTCAACACTGGAATTCATGCTCGGCAGTGGTAGCTGTGGTATTGTATGGAACATTTTAGCTAACTAACAAACTGTATAGCATAATTAGAGGCTCATATGTATGATATGTTCAGTAATATCATTGACTCCACTGCTATAAGGTGCATAACAGTTATAATAGGAATTTTTGATGTAGCAGATTAAGAATATGAAGAGTTTAAAATATTGTCCTTGGATGCTAGGGCTAGTGTTTGGTCCTTGTTCAATGAGCTTAGAGTAGTGTAGCTGTAGGCTCCTGTACTTCTAGTTGGTTGCTATCTCCAAATCTTAGTGTTGACGATTCACGAAATTGTTGGTTTTTCTTGGTCATTTACTGGGTATGCTAATGGATGCAGTCATTGTATTTTATTGTAGCATGTTTAGTCTGCTGAGCTAATGCATGAGTTAGTGACATCACCTTTGATATTTTATGGCCCAGCATATGCACTTTTGTCTTTTCGTCAGTTTGTTTAGTCATATTTTCAACCTTTATTCCATTGGATTCATTTCTTTTTTGGATCTATTATGCATGTGACGTCTTGTGGGAGAACTGAACAAAAAATTCCTCTGGTTCTTTCATTCCAGGAAGCCCATAGATTGCTCCAGCCTGCTGATAAGACATTGAAAGAAATGGCTATTGAATTTGCTGAGTTCCAGGTATTTTTAAGGTCTTCTCATTTTTTAGACTTATAAATTGCATGAGATGATTTTTACAATGGCTAGAGCTCTTATGTAACTTCCGTTTACTCACAGTTTGATTGTTGTCAGGTTTGTGTGGATTTTTTTATCACCACCCAGTCCTATGTAGACATTGCTTCCACATCAGTCATCCCAAAGACTACTGGAGGACAGGTAGCTATCGACTGACTTCTTTATTTTATATTTTTTTCTTGTTCAACTTTCATTTGTTTTTAAAATCATATCTGGTTTATTGGATGTTCTTCCAAGTACTCTGCTTTATACTGTTTCCAAGCCCCTTAGTGATGCTATTCATTTCTACCTTTTTACTTCAGATACCAAGAATTTGATGGTCATATGTGTTTTGGTAAAAATAATTTGATAGTTGCGTTAGGCGTTGTGATTGTAGTTTGTTTGTGTTACCTTTTTCATATCTCACCCATTCTTAAGATTGTAGTTTGTATGTGCTCTCACATAGTGGAAACAGGGATCATCTCTTCCTGTATATTGGGTTCCAATTTATTCATTGGATTTGAGTATGTTTTTAATGTGAAGGCATGTTTGCCCTTTTTCTTTTGGAGTATCTGCAGCTTGATGTGCTGTTTTTAGAGGATAAAGCAGTGTCAGTGCCTTGTCATATTTATTCTCTGGTGGCTCGGCTATATAGCAATTGACTATATCAGGAAAACTTTGCCACTTTGGGTTTATTCTATGTGTGAATGGATTCAATGGCTTCCCTCTATGGAGAATAGTCATATGTTGTAGAGGGTCCACTATGATATTCCTTATAAATTTTCAGTATGATTGGAGATGACCTAAATATTACTTTGTTCTTTTATTTGCTAATGCACTCTCATTATCTGTGCAAACATCTGTTAAGTTGAATCCTTAAATAGATCATTGCCTATTTGCCTATACCAAACTGCTCTATCAGTTTCAAAATAATGGTTACAATTTCCTAGTTTGGCCGTTTCATAGTAATGATTATACTTACACAGTTTGGCCGTTTCATAGTAATGATATACTTGCACTTTTTCTATTTTGGTATATGTGGCCCACATAATTTTATTACTTTCTAAAAGTTTTCCCACGGCTTGTTTTATTACTTTTTTTCTTACAATTTTCCACCACTATACCTTGCTATATTACAAGAATAAACTTTTTTACTTCCCTCTCTTGCTATCCCAATAATTTCCTTGGTTCTAATAGAAATAGAAGTGTAACCATTCTCTCTAAGCAGAGGGTAAATTGCACCAGGTACCTGTTGTCCTTAGATTGCAATTATAGTTTCTCGAGTCTCTATTTCCCTAGTTTCTCCTCCCATGAAATTTCCAAACTTCTATATTGTAAAATGGCACGTCTTAACTTTAACTAGATTTCTAGATAAATTTACTTGCGTTTGTCCACGTCATTGATCATCCATCCGCACAATTGTGAAATTTGTAGTTTAGATTTTTTAAGACTTTTATATAGCACATACTTAGTTTTGCTTTTTTCCTATGTATAATCTATGCACAGCTAACTATTGTATGTTTTTAGTGGTGTTTTGACAGATTGTTGTCGCTTTCTCACTGATGGATTTTTCTAGTATATATATATATGATAATTTTCTCCCTACAATACTCCATTTTCAGGTTTATTACTATTACCCCTTCTCGGCTGTCTCTGATACTGCCAAGCTTTACAATGATCTTCGATGGAATGTGACTAGACCCCAAGGTTTTGAAGCAGTTATGCGTGTAAGGTGCAGCCAGGTATGTACACTTGTTTGCATTTAGTGCTTGTTCTACACTTCTTTCTGCTTGGGCTGTTCTCTAAGTCTTGTTTCATATCCGCCTTGAGGTCATTGTCTATGTTAAAAACTTACAACTTACAAGTTTTAGCATTCGTTGATTATTTCTTTTTCTAATATTAAAATTTTTGTAGGGTCTTCAAGTCCAAGAATACTCAGGAAACTTTTGCAAACGTATTCCGACCGATGTTGATCTCCCTGCGGTATGTATACTCTTCTTTAACTTATTTTGTAAGGTAGAGATAATGTGAATAAATTCTTACATTGAATATAGATATGAGGTATATTGTGGCTTTCTTTAGGAAAGAAGCATTAGTTATATCATGGTTGATGAAGATTTTGAAGATGTGGGAGATTAATTCTGTGACCATGATTCCTTATATTAGAACTGCTAGACATGCTAGCACAGTTAATGATGTTGTTGCTCTAATCTGGTTAGAGGGAGAACATGGTGGGAAATTTTTGTACTTAATTCTGCTGACCTATATAGTCATGTTCTCACTCTAGGCATAGATTGAACAAATATCTATCTCAAGAAATTAGGGGTGTTTGGAGTAGTTGGATAAAGAGCCGATTGGTCCTTAACTAACTGTTTTAACTAGTCAGTCTACTGCTGGTGTATGGTAGATTGGTAGGTAGTAAATTGGTTCAGTCCATTACACTTAATTTACTAATCGGAGCAAAATGAACTCATGTGCTTATGTATCTTATTAGTACAAATATAAACTGCTAATCATTATGACTTACCTAACACTTCTATAGATTGAGTGTATCTATCAATACAATATGCTAACCATCATATTGCTATATTGAGTGTATTAATCAACACAATATGCTATCGGCTAGTTCCTTACCAAGAACAACATTTTCTTATGTTGCAGAATGCTGTAGGTTACACTTGTCCTTTGTGACAATAAAATAATGATTTTCCATGATTATATTCCTTTTTATTCCAAATGTGTACAACTGGGGCTTTTATACTCCTTCCTAACTGATGATAGGTTGAATTAAGACTCGTTCTCCAAATTCTGGCAGTGTTACATTATCAAGAGGAATGTTGTATATTTTGTGTTACGCACTCCCTCCGTTTTTTGTTCTACTCACAGTAGATGGTTGTTTCTAGGTGAGTTGATGGGTTTTAGAAAAAATAAGAGGATTAATTAAGAGTAAAGGAAATAGATTGGTGGGTTTAAGAGTAAAGGTGTATAAAGTAAGAGAGAGTGAATAGATTGTCATAAATATTGTGGGGTAAAAGAAGAAAGATGGTAACATTTTCTGTGAATTAGCTTTGGCTATTATCCCCTCTCTCTCTCTCTCTCTCTCTAAGTCACTGTTAGAATGTTCAATTCTTCACCTGAGTATCTTTCTTGATGCAGATTGATTGTGACAAGGCTCTCATGGTCTCTCTAAAACATGATGATAAGCTACAAGATGGTGCTGAATGCTCTTTCCAGGTCAGATGGTGACAGCGTATACCGTTGATTAATTCCCAATATGAGTTTTTCTTATTAGTCTAATCACCTAATGTGTATACCAATGATTAACATTTATCTCCTTGACAATGCAGTGTGCGCTTTTATACACTACTGTTTATGGACAGCGGAGAATTCGTGTTAGCACCCTTTCTCTTACATGCACAAGTGTTCTGAGTAACTTGTTCCGCTCAGCTGACTTGGATACTCAATTTGCTTGTTTTATGAAGCAAGGTATATTACTAAGTTTAAATATAATGAAATTACCATTTACTGAACATTGTACTAGTACTACCTAGAACTTTTTAATAATGGTTGTCCCTGCACTAAATTCGGAATTGATTTTTATATCTCTCTTGCTTAAAATCTGCTGGAATCTCATTGACCTCCTGATAATATGAATACTATACATATTTTTTGCATCATGTTGCTTCATTATAGAACTCATATTTTATTGACCAGTTCTCTGCTCAGTGCTCATAATTTTGACTTGATTCTTTGTCAAGAATACTAATTTTATTTTTTATTTTGGATGTTCCTTTAAGCTGCCATTGGTGTTCCCACTACTCCACTCTTGCAAGTCAGGGAACAGGTGACAAACCACTGTGTCAACATTCTGCATTCCTACCGAAAATTTTGCGCAAATTTATCAGTATCATCAGCAGGACAGCTCATTCTTCCTGAGGCCCTCAAGCTATTGCCTCTGTACACCCTTGGTAAAAATTACTGCTTTGAGCTGTGTCTGCGAGAAGTTAAAATTTCCCCTTCACTTTTTTGGTGCCTACACCATCAACTTGTAAATGAAAATAATTTTTAGGAATGAAATCAGTGTGTATGATGTTGTATCCAAAAATTTTCTTTTGCAGCATTAATAAAAAGCATTGGACTGCGGACTGATGGGCGAACAGATGTTCGCTCCTTCTGGACAACGTATGTCTCTTCTTTGTCTACTACATTGGCTGTTCCACTGGTGTATCCTAGGATGTTTTCTGTCCATGACCTTGAAACAAAGGTATGAATGAGGTCTTCTGATAGATTTTTGTTTTCGATGACTTTTTTTATGCAATCAAACTCATTCTCAGTGACATTATTTATGCAATCAAACTCATTCTCAGTGACATTATTTATGCGATCAAACTCATTCTCCTAAAAATTTGTCTGTAGGAGATGGATGGATCCGCAATTCCTCCAGTTATCCCACTTTCTAGTGAGCATGTGAGTGATGAAGGAATTTATCTTCTTGAGAATGGGGAGGATGCCTTAGTCTATGTGGGGACCTCTGTGGATCCCAGTATTATACAATCTCTGTTTGGTACAACCTCAGTTGATGAAGTTCCAACTCAGGTAGTTCTACTTTATCCTTTTACATGATAATTGATTTTGCTGTATCTTTTCCATTTTTTGTCTACTTGGAACTCTGCCACTGATGCAAGCATAAAAGTAAATGGAAAAGAGATTGTGGCATCCTTAAAAATTTCTTAGTGCTTGTTTACTTGTTTAGCTATAGTAACAGTCTATTTTTTCTTAAATGATTGGACCTTTTCATGAGTTATGGTGATTTATATTTATCTTTAAATAAGAAGCTTTTAATACCTATTACCAGTGTATCTCTTTGAACTTATGTTTCTCCCATCTATTAGTTTGTGTTGCAGCAATATGACAATCTACTGTCTAAGAAGTTTAATGAGGTTATCAATGAGATAAGACGGCAGAGGTGTTCCTACCTCCGGTATGTCTGTTTGAATTTTTGTAATCATTTTGAATATTATACTAGTATGTAATCTTTAAGATGGATGTGTATGTTGTGAAGATTTATTTTTTATCTTTCTGCTTGTGCAGCTTCAAGTTGTGCAAGAAAGGGGATGCTTTAGGTAAACTCATTGAATTTCCTATTGAAGTTTATAAATTCATTTTGAAACTTTATTTTATGATTTTTTATTTTTTAATTTTTTTGGGAAATTTCCTATTACTGATTGCATCGGAAGAAATTTCATTTCATCCTACATGAAGAATTAGCACACTACCTCGGATTCTCCTTTTGTAGTTTGGAGAGTCAATAGAGTGATTTATCTAGTGTTGTTCATTATATAACGTATTAAAGCTTTACAACTTGTTTGGATAAATGGATTTGGAGAGGAGAGAAAGTAAGGGGAGGCAGAGTTAAGGTATCAATTTGCCCTTGTTTGTAAGCTAAAGTTAGGGAGGGTAAGGAAACCTATTTTGTGTAGCATAGAACAGGTTAAATATCACGGCTGCAGCACAGGCTATCCTAACCGTGATTCTGTGAAAGCGTGATAAAGAGAACAATGCCTGCTTTATGAATTTATAATTTTCTTACCATGGTTTTTGCATCATTGTTGTACAAATGGTCCCTAAAAGAAATTTGTATAAACTGAGAACTTCAGAGGTCAAATTTTCAAAGTTTGATGAGTCTGCTTTCTTTATCATCCAGGAATGTTATTCTTCTCATATATGGTAGAAGATAAAACTCCAACTGGTCTCTCTTATGTGGAGTTTCTGGTGCATATTCATCGGCAAATCCAAGGTAAAATGGCTTAAGCTCAACACATTCTTCATTTCTCGAACATAGAGATGTAGCTAGTCACCGTGGATATAATTGATTATAGAGAGTAAATTATGGCTTTGAATCAAGCGGCCTATATGACTATACCTTTTCTTTCTTCCTCTTTATGAGGATTTTGAATTGAAAGAATTTTTGAGAACAGAATTTACAAGGGATCCTTTTATTAACATAGTATAGTTATATTATTAGATCAATTTGTTTTTCAGATATAGTGAGAATTGTAACATGCAAAGCCCTTCTATGTTCTCATTTTATCCCTACACTTCATTTTTCATGATATAAATATTATACTTGGTATCTAGAATTATTCTTATACTGTAATATTTTATAATTTATATAATGTAATTGAGCAAAATTATCTGGTTTTATATTAATTCAAGTGCTAATTTTAATTTTGCTTTATTAAATTAATTTTTTATATTGTGTGCTTTAAAAGTAGATTTTCCATTTGATATTATCATTTATCAACGGTGTCTTAAATTAAATGCAACTTTTTTTGGCTAGCTTGATGGTATATATTTTTTTAAATCATAATGTTTTTTTTTTTTTTTTGGTGTTTATTTAAAATCATACTGTGGTACAGTGGTAAAATTTATGGAGTCAAAAATCACTATGACTAATACTAGTAGGTTACTTACCAATGTTAATGAATTATTTACAAAGAATATTATTTGGGGATGCAGTATACAATTTGTTTTGGGCTACTTAGCAAATAATATTCTTCACTCAAAAACTTTATTGTTACACCAGGGCCCAAATATACATTTTGACATTTGTGTGAATTGGACAGCCCTAAATGTTAAATCGTTTTATGTTTGATATCAACCTCAAATGTTTTTTTGGCAAAGCAATCTAATTCAACCCTTCTTTGTTGCATTCATGCATGATTATCTTCTTAGTATCATCTTTAAATCTTTAATATGAGTTTAGAGCTTGACATTATTGGCTACTATTTCTTCATAGAATGATGGATTGAAAGGGTCGTTACAGGTTCCTGAGTAATATTCGTAACGAAATTTATAGTCATAATTTATTTTATAACATTTGAAAAAAAAAAAAAATAGTCATCATATTAGACTTGAACAATGTGACAAATAGTTTAAGGTAAATACAGTTCAATGGTTCAAATTTTTAAGATAAATATGCTACTGTGTATGCTTAAGAAGTACGAAGTATATACTTAACACTTTAGAAGACGTTTGCTAAACAAAACTCTCACTCCAAGTTTGTTCGGCATCTTAACGTTTTTAAAACTCTTGGATTGCATCACATCCCTAATTAATTAACAAGGCAAGAAAGGGAATTAAAATTTTCATCACAAGCCTCAGTTATTTATCTCACAGTCATATTCCCCACGTTTTGATGAATTAAAGCACTTAAATTCATATCGTCCAAACTACAAGATCATGAGACATTCATTATATGTTACAAGTAGGAACAAATTACAAATAATTTTTTTGTTGAACAATTCTTTTCCCGCAATTGAGAACATATTTAATGCTTATAGAGTTATAGTGTGAAAAATAGATACGGAATACTTGTAGTTTTTTAAGTTTCATTAAAAATAATCATTATCATCATGTGATTTTTTCTTTAAAAAAATTTGATTTTTTTCCCCCTTCAAATTCGACACAATAAAAATTCATTTCATCCTTTTTTTTTTTTTTCTTTTAAATTTGAAGGAATCAACTCTTCTATATATCAATTCTAAAATATGGTCATTATTACCTTAAGCCTTGGCTCCTTATGGTTAGTGGCATACGGTCCATACACTTTCAAGTTTCAAGGGCCAATTGTTTAATTAGTTTGTTAATAATATTCCATTCTGTTGATTGCGTAGCATGTGACTACGACGTGAATCACGTGATGATTTGATTTATCGAATTGATATATTGAACACTTGCGTTGAATTATACTCCGAGTACTATACTTACGGGTAAATACACTTGGGCAACTTTTCGAGTGGGTGACAAGTGTGCTACAATCGATGAAATATTTTATACGCACCCGAGTATATCGTGTACCCAACTAACACAAAGTTAATTTTTGCTCCTTATTTGATGATTAAAAACAATTATCAAAATGAGAACAAAATATCTCATTGATATATCGTGCACCCGAATGTGTATAATAATCTCTACAATCATCTCTGCCTATAGGTACTCTTTTTACATCTAAAGTTCATTACATTTTGATGTTAATTGATATTAGTACAATATCTTTAAACAGACTCAAAGAAGCAAATATGCATAAAACGACTACTAATCGAAATTATTTTTGTTTGGAGTCTTGAATATTACTTGCTATGCAAGTAAGCAAGTAAAAGCTCACAAGCTATAACTTATCACCAAACTCATTACATAGCTAAATCCATGCGTATAATCTTTTTCATTATTGTGAGAGGATGAACCCGCATTATTAGAGATTTAAGAATAACTACTCCGTATTAATTAGAGGAAAAAAAAAAAAAAAAAAAAAAAAACTATCACAATACCAATAGCATTGTTATGATGTAAACAAGAAATACATATAAAATGACAAAAATTTGAATATTAAAAGCATTTCTGTTACAGCTCACAATACTACATTACAGACTTGGTCAGAACTTAAAATTTTCACAAGTCACAAGCATCCATATTTAAATTATACTCCCTCCGTCCCTATTTTTTTGCCCCATTGTCAAAATCTGGGTCAAACTTTGTAAATTTTGGTTATAAATTTTCGTTGTTCTACAAAAGGAAATATAGTCATGTACTCATGTGGGATCTTGTTTGGTTCGTTTCATTGTAAATTTAATTAATACAGTATTAACTTTTTATATTTTTTTTACATATATGAATATGGAGATGTAAACGTTTTAATACGTGTGTTGGAGATTGTCCTCAAAGTCTAATGGGGCAAAAATAAAGGGATAGGAGAGTATTCCGTAGTATAACTTATACTCGTATAATAAATAGATTTGTCCGTACAAAAAGCAATGAATACGGAGTACACAATGCTCGTAATACTTTCGTATAATATGGACTGAATAAAACTGAATTTATATGGAGTACTTAATTGAAGCCTATCATTTGATTTTGGGCTGATGATCACCGTGCAACTGATATCACTGTGGGCCCCAATAATGTGATGTCCAGCTGTACTATATGCTATGTGGGCCCGACAAACTACAACATTTTATTAAAAAATAATTGCAAAAATCAACGGTTATTGAAGCCACTGAAATAGAATCATTGGTAAGATTCGTAATTTATGACAAATTTAAAGGGTATTTTAGTACTTTAACATTTTGAGAAAATCGCCCATCTTTATCTCGCACCTAAATAAAACTCGCCAGCGATGTTTATGTAAAGTGAAAGTGATTGAAATATTGATTTTTCTTTTTATAATCATGAATCATGACAATCAATATCTAACATTCTAACCGTCCAATTAAGATCTTACTAAATGTCAAAAATTAATTTTCCCCTCTATTTACCGTAGAGCTTTGTGTGTGGTGTATAAATGTTGCTATACTTCCTTCATTTACGTTTGGGGGTCGATTGAGTTTATATGTTTAATCGGGAGCATGCATGATGCATTGATACATATGACGATAAAAATTGAATTTTAAAATTCTCAATTTGTGAATTTACAAAATTATTGTGATGATGAATAATATAGAGTAAACATGTTAATTATATGGATGAGTGATAATGTGATATAAAGTAGAAGAGATACGAAATATTCAGCAATACCTCGATTCAAAGTAGTGACTATTGTTAAATACGGGTGTGGGCCGCACCTGCAAATCAAGAGAGAGATTCCACTTCACAAGTCCAAAGAATGTTTCATCTCAAAACCATATGGCTATAGTAGGTTTGGCCTCTTAGCCTTATAAAGTGTTTTAACTCTCTCAACTTTTATCAATGTGGGACGCTTATATGTTTTATTTGGTAAGATATACTTCAATACTCCCCCTTACATGTAAGATCTTTTAAACTCAAGGATCACATGATCCAATTCAATTTGGCCCAGACATGTCATTAAAGGTCCCAAACCATGGGCCTAGCAATACACTCAAGCCGTTAAAGGTTCTCAACCGTGAGTCTGGCTCTGATACCATGAGATGATATATCATCGGAGGAAGCAAAGGATTTAGAAGCCTTAATTGCTTTCAAGAATTGCACCCATTGTTCATTAGTTAAAGCGAGAGCAGAAGCACGATCACCGTTAATCACCTCTTGCGAACTTGTTTGCCAGGAATTTTTAGAAGTATAATCACCCCCACTAACCATTACTCCTCAACACACGACGAACAAATCACCAAAAATACACACACAATGGAAGCACAAAGCAAGAAAACGTACACCATAGCACACACTGCAATGGGCACACCTAAATCAATCGGATTAAGCGCTACACACACTTGAATAAACAAACAGAAATTAGGGATTTGAGACCCTAAATTCGACCAAACCAAATTTTGTGTAAAAGAAATAAAATCGAAACCGCAAACTCACAAATTTGCGGAAAAGAAAGAAAAAAAATAACGGAAGAACAAACCTAGATCGAACAAAAATCTCTAGAAATTAGAGAGGCTATGATACCATGTTAAATACGGGTCTGGGCTACACCCGCAAACCTTGAGAGAGAGTCCACTTCACAAGTCCAAAGGAAGTTCCATCCAAAACCATATGATTATAGGAGGTTTGGCCCCTTAGCCTTATAAAGTATTTTAACTCTCTCAACTTTTATCAATATAGGACGCTTACATGTGTTATTTGGTAGGATATACTTCAACAACTATGATGAGTTCTAAGTACTCCGTATTATATTAGGTCATGCAACATTTCATAAACGAATTTTATAGAATTTCATCCATTTGAAGTTTCAACAGCAACTATAGACAAAATAAATACAAACTCTATCATGATTAGTTTTTGTGATTTGTAATTATTATAAAATATAATCACGTAGAATTTTATTAGATTCAGCTAAATGTATATTTTAAAAAAAATAAGAATGTAATTTTACTTGTTCATAACTTATTGATAATTAGATGTATTAATTGATAAAATTATAATTTGATAAATGTAAACAAAAAATATTAATTGTAAAAAACATGTCTAGAAAATATACTTGTATGAGAAATGAGTATGGGGTATAAGAAAGGATAGTAGGTGAGGGATCAAAGAAATGAGAGAAGTTGCTATGAACTTATGATTTATGAAGGAAGATTGAAAGCAGCTTTCATAATTTATTTTTAGTTTGGTGAAATTTATTTTAAGAAATATACAAATCACATGATATAATTGGATATGGGCCGTTGGATAGGATTTTTCACATAGTATGCAAAATCTTGCACGTTTAAGAGCAATTAAGCTTA